TTAAAACAACTGGTGAGACTATAAAAAATGATGTATATAATTCTACATATAAAAACTGAAAAATGTACAAAAAAATAAAAGAAAAAGTAATCAAAATATAAAACAAAAAAGGGAATAGATATTTAAAAAAGTCAGATGTAATTCAGGATAAAAATTATTATTAGAATAGAGAATAGAAACTTAACTAAAAAGTCGTATTAAACTATGTTTTTCAATTTTTTTCTAGCTGGAATTGGTGTACATTATGCACATTATGTAAGATTTGGGAAAAAATTTTGCACACTGACTTCATTCATTATTCTATATTTACATAGAACTATTATAATAATAATATTATATATATAGAAGAAAATTGATATACAAACAGCTTTATAACGCTTTATAAGATTAATAACAAATATTAAAATTATTAAAAATTATATAATATTAAAATATTAATAAATTTATATATAATATTAAAATATTAAATATTAAAACTACTCATATATTTTATAATAAAACTTATTGTTAATTATTTATATCTTAATATAAATATTTAAAAATGAAATAAAATTTTTGTTTACAAATTAATAATAAATATAATCAATTTAAATACAGAAAAATATATTCTATGAAGTATTGATTACTCCTTTCAAGCCTCGACCATATGGACTACGTTCATTTGTTAAAAAGTTATAGTTACCTCTCCTGAAAATATAATAATGATAATCTAAATTTTCCTTTTTCTTTTCCTTTATCGTTTTTCCCTCCCAAATTCAAAGAAAAGTGTAAGAAAAAAAAATTCTTATATATAAAATCTTAAAGAACAGAAGAATCAACATAAATCATTAAAAATTATTAAAAATTTAAATAAAAATTAATAAAAATTATACTAACGTCTTGCTAGGTGTAGAATATCCCATTGGAATAAATAAAGTACCATTACAATTTCTTTTACACTTAGCGATGAAGGCGTTATTGTTTTTAACTGATTCCGCATAATACTCGACAGATCTACTATGACTACAAAAATCTATAACATATGAAGTGAAATAATAGAATTATATTATGAATTGTTGAATTGTTAAAATTAGAAATTATTTATCAAAAAAATTCCAAGCGATAAATCGAAATTCGAAAAGATAAAGAATTTAAGAATCATGTGTCTCGTACAAACCCTGTGTTGACAGTAATGGGCCGATTATTTTACAACCTGGTTGCGGTCTATAACCATAATTGGGAAAGAAATCTACATGACCAACTTTTACAGCCAATCCGTAGAAACCCATATCAGTATGTATAACATCCACAAATTTAGCATCGGAAGAACTTATATGAAAATCCAAAATATAATATAAAGGACCAGCAGGATCTAAGGCTATAAAAAAAAATTCAAACATTCCAATATATTTAGGATGTTTAATAATTATAATAAATAAAAAGTTATAAATCATTTTCTACCATGAGAATCAAATTTCAATATTTTCCATTCTTTAAAAAATTTATCAAATTAATAAAATTTTTTGCTCTAACTTTTTGCATTATGTTATTTAATGGTTAACTTTATTTTTAGCAAGAAAAAGTAAAATATTCATAAATAACCTGTTATCCTGGGAATTTTGAAGTTCGTTTTACGACCAATTCTCGCTGCAAGTTGTGCACCTAATGAATGTCCAATTAAATGTATCTTTTCTGGATTCACGCCATTATTCACTAAACTGTTCAGAGCATTGGCTATAAATGTGCTCAGTTTGTTTATTGTTATCACGGAAATTAGATAAATTTGATTTGTAATATCTCGATAATCAAGTGCTAAAATATTATCCTGTGTATTATATAAATATGCTGAAATAATTCAAAGAAAAATTGAGAATTAATTGTTTTTCAAATAACAATAATATTTATAAATTAATTAAGAAAGACATAAAAAACTTCGTCATTAAATGTAATATCGTATTTAATTTAATGAAAAAAAAGATGTAAAATGAAATTTATTATATTATGAAATATATTGATCAATTTTCCATCCATACCATTCGTTATCATTTTCACATTGTCAGAATCGATGTCATATGTATAACCAGTTAAGTAAAATATTAAATTATTATCCTTTTGTATGTAAGGTAACAATTGATTAGCATTCCTTATATTTTTATCAATATAAGAACCATTCCTAAAGAAGACAATTACTTCATAATGAAATTTAAATATGCAAATAACTATAAAATTTTTTACTTCATTAATTTTATATTAATTGTAATTACCTATTATACAAACGCAGAAAAACATTTTCAGTGAAATATAAATCAGTCAAATTCACAGTATCTGTGAACAAAATTAATTTTCCAAATTATTAATTGTATATTACATTAGACTGTTAAAAAAGAAAACTTTTAAAATAAAAAATTTTATATCTATATACTTTTAATAAATAAATTGAATGATTCTTAAATAAAGAATGAATTTCAATCATTTTAGAAAATTATATAATAAAACTTTGTATATGTATGGAACGTATTCTACAAATATTTCTAAGTTTCATAGTTTCAAAATTTTTCGGTTACTAGTAATTATTTATTGATATAATAATTTGTTCGCTTTTTCATTATTTTCGAATATGAAGGAATGAAATATATTAAGAATTTACCTGCTGAAGAAAAAGTAAAAAAGACTAGAAAAAGACAGAAACAAACGTTAATCATATTTAGATAGATGAATTAAATCTTGTGATCACTATAAATTTAAATTTAAATATTTAAATTTTTATAATTGAATTCACTATATTCTTTTATCTTTATTTTTTTCTTGTTTATATTATTTTATTTTAATGTGTGCCATAAATATTTGAAAATAAAAATTTAAATAAAAATAAAAACAAAATAAAAATAAAAAACTCTTAATTTACAATAGAACATTCATTATTTTTGAAGAATTGATTCCAAAACTGTGATGAATAATATATTGAATATTGTTTTATTTATCTATATATATATATATATATATATATATATATATATATTTGTTTATGTTATATTTGTATGTATGTTGCACACACTTTAATGTTTTTCTACGAAATTGTACTTTCAATCACTCTGATCATTAGTTTTAAAAATAAAAAGAACAATTGTATTATAATCATATTCGCAAAATTATAAAAATTATAAATTGCACAGTTGAATGAAAATTTTTCAAATCAAAAATAAATGATTATTACTCTTATGAAAATGCTGTTTTAATAATTTTATAAACACTCTAATAATATTTTTATAATATTTTTATTAATAATATTCTATTAATAATATTTTTATAAATTTTTATATTTTTTTAGTTGATCTAATTATCACCAATAATTTATTTTTTATAGAATATTGTATAAGATCATGTGTAAATATGATGAATGAACAAATTACATTAACTTTTTAATATACCTTATAGTAAAGACATCGTAGAACAACAAACGCAGACTTATATACACGAATGAATGTTTCATACTGATTAGATCCAATCAAAACTGAAACTGAAAACTGGTTGCCCTATAACTTCTAGTAACTAAAAACTGGTTATACTATATACTAACTTTCAATAAATCTTTCACAAAATCCGCAAATTTTTACATCATTATGATCTTGAATACCTTGAATAATTTAAAGGTCAACTCAAAAACACACTCTCGGAAAGACCTTTAATTAGATTTAATGAAATTGGATTGAAATTAATTCTGAAAAAATTTTGATTGATTATGATTTGTTATATTCAATATGATTTATTAATTCTAATGATGATATAAATGATAATATAATTGATAACAACAAACAATAATCTATAATCTCGTCTACTATCGAACAATATAAATAATAAATAAAGTTAAATAGTTATATAAAGTATATAAAGTATATTTTATATACTTTATATATTTTTATACTTTACTTATATAAAATAAAATTACTAAAATAAATAAGATTCATTTTCATAAATGTCCATTTAATTAAATGTGCATTTAATTATAATTGATGTCTTTTCTTGTTCATCAATAATTATAAAATTCATATTATATTCTTAAATATTTTTCTTGTTAATATAATTAAAACATATTTATTCATTAACTTATGCAAATTGAATTTTATTTAAAATTTTATTATTTAAGTACAATTTCTCACTTATGTAATAAATTGAATTATATAATAAAATACACAATAAATTGATAGATATAGATGTAATAGAAATTAATATTATTATAATTATAATAATATTAATTGCTACATTATAATAATATTATTAGTAATGAAATTATAATAATTTTAATTTTTTGATTATGACATTTATAGTAAGTATAATATAGTAAACAATAAGTAAATGAAAAAAATTTTTTCATTTTTATTGTTCCATTTTTTTTTGATCATTTGAATAATATTATTACTAAAGATACATGCACATTGAGAACATATCACTATTATTGTGTTATAATTATATTTTTGTATTAGATTATATTAATTAATTTTTTTTTCTTTTCACATATTCATAATCAAAATTAAAAAACTACTAATTTTGATCAAAAAGTTGTCAATCTTTGAATTGCTATATATTACTATAATTAATTATAATGTAAAAAACTTATAGAGCTTCATTTCAAAGCTTGAAGTTTCAGTCTTCTTTTAGAGATGATTTTTCAAATTCAATTTTTTAAAGAATGTTTTTTTTATATTATAAAACGGATTGAGAAAATAAAGTTGATGTTTTTTCAAAAATATTTTTTACTTATACGACACCAGTGAATAAAAAAAAATGTTATAAAAATATTTATCATCATTATTCACTTTTTTTTTTAAAATGTATGACAGCGTATTTTATTTATGATATACTAATTTTTAATTAAAGATGAATATTGCAATAAAAAAATCATTTCACACATTTTAAGAGAATATTAGAATAGATTTAAAAAAAATAAATGCAAACAAGAAAAATGTTTATGTCATTATTACTTATCCTTTTAACGTGGTATTTATATATATTATATATAGACATTTATTTTGTAACTTAATATTACGCAATTTTTAATAATAATATTATAAATATAATAAATATCATATCGATATCATATCAATTTACAAAATAGAAACAATTTTCGATGGATTAAAAGTTGCTCCTGCTAAACCTCGACCGAAAGGACTCTCTCCATTCGTTAGAAGGTAATAGTTACCAGTCCTAAAAGTATCAAAATGAAATATTAAATTTAGACCAAAAAAATATTAACTCAAACAATAAAAAGAGAACTAATTTCAAGAAATTTTTTTCTTTTGTTATTCATTTTATTAAACAAGATGAACTAAATTTGTTATGTTGAGAAATTAATTAAAAATTAATAAAAGTTATACTAACGAATTGACAGGTGTAGCATATCCCATTGAAATATATTCAACACCGCCGCATTCACTTAATGAATAACACTTTGCTATTAAGGAGGTATGATTTTTAACCGATTCCGCATAAAATTCGAAAGATCTACTGTGACTGCAAAAATCTGTAATACGTGAGAAAAACAATGAGAAAGAAAATAACAAGAAAGAAAAAAAATAAGTATAAGTTTTAACTTTTCATTTGAAAAATTAAAAAAATCAAGACTCAGAGACTTATACGAACCCATTTGCGATAATAATGGGCCGATTAACGGACAATTGGGTTGAGGTCTATGGCCATAATTAGGAAAGAAGTCTACGTCTCCAGTTTTTAATGCCAGACCATAACCACCAATATCAGCGTGTATAATACCTACAAACCTAGCATCAGAAGATATCAAATGAGAGTTGAGAAAATAAAACAAAGGACCGGCAGGATCTAAACCTGTAAAAAAAAATTTCACTTACGTTTAAATATTCGAAAAATATTTTAACTCAATAACAAAACTTAAGATTTTATTAAAAATTCAATTCGTTAAATTTTATACTACAATCAATAAAATTTGTATTACAATCGATATATTATTTGTCAAATAAATCACTTTTTATTAAATTATTAAATATATAAATTCTTCAAGAAAATCATTAGATACCCACTAAACTTAATGGACATTAGAAATATAAAGATTCATTATAAAGAATACCTGTTATTCTAGGTATTACAAAGTTCACATTGCGAGCAATTCTTGCTGCAAGTTGTGCACCTAGCGAGTGTCCAATTATATGTATCATTTCTGAATCTACACCACCATTTACCAATGAATTTAAAGCATCAGCAACAAGTTTGCCGAGATCGTTAATCGCATATACAGCAGTTAAATAATTTGCTTGTGTGATACTTCGATAATCAAGAGCTAGGATATTATGCTGCGTGTAATTTAAATACACTGTAATTATTCAAATAATATTGATTATTTTCAGATAATATATAATGCAATATATGTTTATTGTCTTTTAAGTTAATTGTTTAATAAATTTCTTATCATTGTATTAACAATTCTTAAACTTTTTTTGATTTTATTACAATTTTTGTGACAAAATTTATATTTAAAGTCATTACTTATTATTACAAATTAAATTGTTATTTTATTATATTCTGTAAAATTATCTATTTCGATTAATTAAAAAATTATTATTATTTTTTAAATCTAAGTAAATTTATTCTTACATAAATTAAAGAAAGAAACTCACTGTATCAATTTATCAAAATAAAATATTTTTCTTAACAAATCTAGATTATTTAGCTATTACATAAATGATAAGAATATAAAGTTAAAAGAATTTCTAAACTGTGAATCGAATTTTTATTAACTTACCACCCGTTATGAGTTTAACATTCTCAGAATCGATGTCATATGTATAGCCAGTGATATAAAGTACTAATAAACTATTATTCTTTTCTATGTAAGGTAATAATATACTAGCATTTTTAACATTTGTATCAATATAAGAACCATTTCTAAAAAATTATTTAATTGTGAACTTTAAACATGTAAATAAATTAGTGATATAAATTTCTTTTATTTTGCATAACAGCTATATACCTATTATATAAACGGAAGAAAGAAGAGTTAATCAAATTATAATCAGAAGCAGCATCTGTGAAAGTTGATACCAAAATTATTATTAACTTATTATATTTACGTGCCTTGAACTTGTTAAAAAAAAAGAAAAACTTAAAATAAAATATCATATTTATATCATTCTAACAAATAAAGTTATATACGTTAAAATAATTTTTTTAATTTAAATTAATATTTTCCTACTTACTTTGTATGCATTTACATCATTTTTCTTAACATGTGTATATTTTTTTTTTATTTTTAGAAATAATAAAAATATACCATATACGTGTAATTTATTGCAGAACATTTTCTAAAATGGATTTTGACTATTTTAAAAAATTTTATACACATATGATAATAAGAAACTTTAAATGACCATCATCAAGAAATGAAAGTGAAGTAGGGATATATTTTGAAAAAAAATGTTTTAGAAAAATTTTTTACGATAATATACAATGTAAACTATTAAAACAAGATCGAATCTAATTTTTTTTTAATATCTTTTAAAATTTCTTAAATGTTAAAAAAAAAACATAAAAATGTTTTGAAAGATTTTTATTTTCATTATAAATGATTTTTATTTTCATTATAAATCATTATATATTTCTCAAAACAAAAAATAATTTTATTATTAATATCATTTGAATTAAATTTTTGCAAACTTCTTTTCTTTCTGTATTTTCGAGTTGCTAAATTTTTTTGTAGTTATTAAAATGTAATAAAAAATAATTAATAATAATATTGCAATGAAATTTATATTCGCTCAGCATTTTTATCATATTTATTATATATAGAAAGTACAAAAGAAATCAAAGACTCACCTGTCAAAAACAAAAAATTGAGAAATGCAACGAAAAGACAGAAACGATTCTTAATCATATTGAAAAATGAATCAACTTTTCAATCAATTATACAATCTGAATTTCTCTTCTAAATTCTTATTTTTTTTTAATGATATTATTATTGCAAATATTTAAGTATAGATGAATTCAAAAATGAAATAAAATTTATACAAATTTAAAATTATCATATAATATCAAAAGTAAGTATATTTATATTAATGATATAAAATAAATAAATATAAATAATAAAAAAATATAAATATGATTGAAAACTTGAAATGTGTTTTGTATTTACTGAAAAATGATCTTTTTAAAAATGTTATATTTTGTAAATATTATTCTCACTTTATAGTCCAATTTTATCTGAAACAATTATTAAGTTTATCTTACTACAAGTTTTACAAGTTTTTGTCATATTCCAAAATATATCGTAGTTATGTATACGATATACGATAAGAATAGATTAAGTTAATATAGATAATTACAACAAGTAATTATGTTTTTAACCAAATAATTTAAAAATATATAAATAAATATTATAATATATAAAAAAAACTTAATGCTTAATATTTTTCAGTATTAAGAAATTTCATTTTTAATAATAATATTATTTCTTTTTATTCTATTCTTCCCAGTGCTCTTTAAGTGTCACTAAAAATACATACAGTGGAACGAATTTTTTATTGCTATTATTTATTATATTTTTATACGATTATATATTAACCATTCATCCTTTTTTCACTTCATCATGTTTTATTACTTTATTATCTTTTCATTTTAATTTCATTATATTATATTAATGCGATATATACATAATGATAATATATTCGAGAGAATCTTTTATTTTTTACAAACAAAAACAAATAAAAAAATTAAGTTTTTATTAAAGTATTTATTAAATTACAAACTTCAATTATTTTATTATCAATCAATATTATTGTATTATTTTTATTTATTATCAATCAATTATTGCTTATATTATACTAATCTTTGCGTTTATTTTGACTTGTAGAATTGGTTTTTTAAAAAATATGCGATGAATGTATTAGTATTCTATTAATATTTATTAATGTATTAATAATAAATTTAAATTCGAAATGGTTCAAAGTATTTTAAATCTAATATTATCTTTGAATTATTCTCTATTTTGAAATATGACATAAAGTATGAGAAACTCGTATTGATTATTTTTATTCTATTCACGGAGATACTTCAATAGATATAATATATTCATCGCTATAACTTTATTAAGATTACAAATTTTTAAAAATCTTTGATATAATTCTATATAGATAAAATTATAAAAAAATTCGATTTTTTTTTACGAAGTGATCCTTATAAAATTTTAATTGTAAATCTTAGAAGAAGAATGAAATTTTTTTATAAATCTTAAAAAGTATGAAGAAAAAATTTGAAGATAATTTATTTTATATTTATATTTTCAATACAAATAAATTGATCATTTATTTTTTACTTAAAAACATAAAAATCTATATAAATACTTATATACTTTCTTACATAAATACTTATATAATTATATATAATTTTTATGTTTAATTAAATTAATATTACAAATTAATATTAATATTATAAAATAATATTAAATTAATATAATTAAATATAATCAATTTATGCTATAGGTATAATTACATGTGAATTAAAAGTTGCTCCTGCTAAACCTCGGCCGAAAGGACTCTCTGCATTTGTTAGGAGATAATAATTACCAGTCCTAAAAGTATTAAAATGATCTAGATCAAAAGAATGTTAATATAAACAATAAAAAAAACTAATTTTAAGATTTCTCTTTTATAATATTCATTTCATATTAAACAAGAAGAATGAAAATTTTTATGTTGAAAAATTTAAATAAAAATTAATAAAAATTATACTAACGCATTACTGGGTGTAGCATATCCCATTGGAATATATTCAACGCCGCCGCATTCATTTAAAGAATAACATTTTGCAATTAAAGAGGTATGGTTTTTAACCGATTCCGCATAAAATTCGAAAGATCTATTATGAGTGCAAAGATCTATAACATGAAACGTAAACGAAAAATAATAAAAAAGAAAATAAGAAAGAAGAAAAAAGGAAAATTCTTAATTTGACAATTTTCATTTTGCTTAATATAGCAATAGAATATCGTTTCTTACGCTATTTTAAAGATAAAGGTAAAAAATATTTCAGAATAATAATAAGAAAAAAGGGTTTTCATACATAATTAATTCACAATATATATTAATAATCTTCACATATATCTTCACAATGAATATATATATATATATATATATATATATAAAATAAGTGACAAGAAAGAAGATATGTAAATATCATTATAACAAAAAATATCTTTTTTTTATAACGAAAACAAAGTTACTTGAAACATAAAAATAAAAATTTTTAGAATCATCTTTTTCTTTAAAAACAGACTTCAAGATCATCAAT